GATATATATATATATATATATATATATATATATATATATATATGTAGATCTACACAAAGTGATGGAATGGCCCCTTATTCCTTAGTCAAGAAAGGCCGTATTTTGACCAGAATACTAAATCCTCATTGAAACATAAAAGCTGAAAACTGTCATGGGCCTCAGTAAAAAGTTCCCGTGTATGAGCAGAAGGCCTAGTGCTCATTTCCAACTGTAAGTGCTGAGCTTAGGACACTTATCTGCTGCTCAGCTTCCCTTGCCTTGGAGGCCCACTGACCCCATCATCCAGCCCTGTATCAGCAACACATAAAAAAAAAAAACACTGATGATGTCCTTATGCCATTTCAAATCCATCACATCTCAAAAATCCCAGTTCCTAGTTAACAAAAACATCCCACTTAGTCAAAGCTTTAACACTAATAAGCATATCAGGGACTACTTGAAAATACTCATAAAACTGTTACTTAGTTCGTGGATCCTATGGATGTCATATAGCCTGACGATGCAGATTTTGAGCTTATAAAACTATTTGTGCTTGCTTTGCTTTCCCCTTTAGGCAGGTGCTTCTGGTCCACACAAGGAGATGCATCTACCTGTCCTGTCCTAATACTTGAATGCGACTGATCCCCTGTCCGTGCACCCTGTCCCAAAGGAACAAGCTCTGATGCACGCTTGGCATCATGCCTGTGCTCAGGGCATCGCTTGATGCCCGGGCCTTCGCCACCGCCGCTCCTGCAGTCGTTCCCGTCCTTCGCCTTTCTCTGCAGATCCTGAGGGATCTCGCCTGGCGTGGCTCCTTTGCCGTGCTCAGAGCAGCGTCTCAACGCTTGAGGCTCGCGCTCAAAGTGCGTGAGCGGGAAATGCGGCAACAAAATAACGTGCTGCTCGAACGTCTCTGGAACCAGAGAGAATGCAGAGGCTAGCCGCGGGCTTCTCATTGGACTAGCCAGTGGCGTCTCGTCAATGAAGTTAATCACTTCGTCGCGGCTAAAGCACTTGAAATCGCCCTCATAACGCTCGACTCGTGGAATCTGCTTGAGCGAATGCATGTCCTCGGATCGCCTCCTTTTGCGGTGTGGGTGGCTCTCCTCGTTGTAGGACGCCGGGCTGCTGCGACGTCTCTCGTGGCGCGGCGAGCTGTATCGGATGCCAATGATGTCCTCTGTGGAGCCCCAGCGATGCAGGTAAGACGGGATCTGACCGGTGGTCCACATGTTGGTTTCGTCGTGGGAGTATCTTCTTGTAGGGGGCACCTGGAGTAACACACAAACGAATGAACCAGGACATTTCTAAAAGTGAAAAATGCTGGCTCAAACTCTAAGGACCTAAAACACGTTCTCAAAGCGTTTGCATCTCGTATGATGCCAGAATCAATGGAATTCTGTGAACTATAATGGCAACACAGGCCTGTTTTCACTTTAAAGTACTAAATATTCATAGATCTACTTTTTAATAGGGATAAAACTGTGGACAATTTAATATTATTTTGCTTAGTTTATAATCACTCATTCTACAGATACTCACATTCCACATTGTTCTGAGAACTACACAGGAAAGACATAAAATGAGTTTTTAGTATTTAAAAGAACTTTAAGTACACTATCCAAAGCATACAGCACAAGCCTAGCATGAAAGCAAATGTATTGGTTAATGCAGGAATGAGACAGCAGTTGATAGGTGTACTATACTCTGACCAGTAGAGGGAAGCAAAGCATCATTAAAGCAATGGCATTTAGTTTTTCCTTTTATAGGCTTTTATAATGGTTGGGTAGTGACATTTCTTTAAAAACCAATACTGATGATCTTATCTATTTAAATAGATCAACTTATACACAAGTTTTTATTATTTATTTATTTTTTACGTTTTGGCATTTTTAAACCTTGTTACTCTGCTGACTTAAATGATATGTCTATTTTATAAAAGCTTGTAATCTTGCTTTAAATATACTGCCCATTGATAAAACATCATTTTCTCTCATATAAAATTTGTCTTAGTTACTTCACAATTGATAGACAGTTTTAAATATTATTGTTCGGCAGCCTTTAATGTTCTATAAGCCTGAATGGCTTGACAGCAAAAAACATTAGCAGCTTGTACTTCCCAATTATTATGGCATTCCAATATTTTACATAGTGATGATGATGCAAAACACTGGTGAAATTGAAAAAGAACATTGTTTCTACTGAAATAGTAGTCTAAAAGTACCAAAAAGTGAATAATGTTCTAATGCAGACACACCTGCTTTCAGTTCTTTATCGATACTCATCAGTGTTTTTTTGCCAAATGTCTTTGGAACAATTCTAACACACACAATGTTAATGGTAGTTTTATAAACTTTGAAGAGAACTTCAAAAGTTGTTTCGTGCAATGTATATAGCAATAAAATCAGCAATGGGAAGCAGTCAAGCACTGCAGATTGAAGATCTGATCTGCAGAACAGAGCTTTGGGAAGTGTTCGGCATACACATTTATGGCATATTCTCCACATTTAACCTCCAAGTCCAAATTTTTATTCCAGACAGGCATGATTTTAATAGCTGGTTAATTTTTTTACACACAGAGAAAAATGGATGATATGTAAAAGCTCAAAGAAAGTTACATGTGGAGGTTACATGTGAGCGCTTATGGACAGTGTGTGAAGTAATCATTTGAATGTAAAAAGTTTAAAAGTTTGAAGTGAAGCATTGCACAGCTCTAAAACTTACTGGCAGCCTGTTATACGAATTCTCAATTGCATTGTAAGCCTTTATAGTATTATTTCCTCGTGGAAGTGGTTCAAATAGTTGGACTGATTTTTAAATTCAAAAAATCTTTTTATATTCAAAAGAACAATCTAAATTTGGATTGTGCCATTAAAGTATAAACTCCTACACAGATCACACATTAGCTGTGCCTCTAAAACTACACATATATGACTAATAAAATTAATGTCAAAGTCATAGTATCAGTATCAAGGGATTTTTACAACATACTGAGCATGTTTTTAATCCAGACTAGTATTTTTAACTGATTTAAATTTTGAATGACTTCAAGCTTTTAACTAAAAAGCATCAGTGGCAGTTGTCACATGAGCCCTGCAACAGTAAAAAAAAATACATAAAAATACCAAGATGTCACTGGGGTGAAGAAACAAAAGGGTTTGTTAGATCATATTTAAAAAATAATAATAATAATTTACACGAAACAAAAGTCCCCAATTTCAAATTTTTTACCTTTAAAATATCTAAATAGGCCACACAACAGGAATGTAAAATGATTCCAGTAAAAGTGTTGACAATAATATAGTGACTATAAGTTTTTTGCAAATACTGAGGTGGAGGGCCATTGCAGCATGCACATTTTAGTTAAAAATAAAGAAAAGATCAATGGAAATATACCTGCAAATAGTGCATTTTATCTTCCTGAAGCTCCCTCAATGGATAACCCTGGGGGCCCCCCCTTTCTAAGGTTGAGAATTCGTACTTGGCAATACGGTCTACCGTCATGATATCACCAGCAGAGCTATAGTCAAACGGTCTGTCAAATATTAAGTCCGGATGAATGCCTCCATCCTGGCTGTTTTCTGCAAACGCAGAAAGCATATATATGTATCAGGATTAAAAATCAGTGTGCTCAAAATACACAGACAGACAGACAGACGAATTGGTAAAAAATAAGAAGAAAAGCAATTCCCTTTTACAGATTTTCGGTGTCCGCATTAGAATTTTAAGTTGTAAAAAATAGCTTAATGTGAAATCGTTAGGATTCACTGAAGTGTCTTGTACTGAACATCACGACTGACTGTCACTGTTTACTAATTAATAAGTGCTATAGATTGCAGCTAGAGCAAACTGTCGTTTAAACATATTCCCTAAAATATGTTTTGGGGCAAAAGATCGTTTGAGGGGTACAAACACATTTTTTTTAAACTTTAAAAAACAGTTGTAGGGCAATGTGAAATGCTGATCTTAAGGCAAAATGGGGGCACACAGCGGGATGACAGATGAGATTAGCTATTAGCACAGGCAGCTTAGCATGCATTTGAGTGAGACACAAGTACAAGAAGCAACCCTTATACATACAACTGAGTTGTGTTACACAAGGCAAACCGTCTGGAAAGAAGCAGAGCACTGGTCAAATTAAGATCACAGAATCCATTTCTTGCACATATTCCTTATGATTGCAAACTTAGAAATGGGAAAGTGCCGAATAGAATGCGGCTAACAGCAAAGTCACACACTTAACACCTACATTCATCAATATATACTGACAGCCTCAGTTCACTAATAGTTTTTGATGAAGCATATTAATCATATAATTATCATGTGACCACTAGTTATTTTTATACAGATAACCCCTTGTTCTTGTATTTTACATTTTTAACCCCTTGTTCTTGTATTTTACATTTTAATATTACCCATAAAACATAAAAATTACAATGTAACTATATATTGCAACCAAAATACCATTGTTTATGCCAAAGTACTGCTGTTATTGCTGTAAAATCACAGTAATTTAATATGAAATCTCCTTGAAAGGGAGTAAGAAGCTTTTTTTCTGTAATTTTAATTAATTATTCCACGTCACGTCACTATTTTGTGGCTAATACAGAGTTTTATTCTAGTTCAATGCCTGTAGTAACTATGATATTTTGGCCAGTGTTCCAGCAAATCCGCAGGGGGCCCTTTGGTCACATGTCGAAGGAGTAGTGACATCATGCAACTCTGTGACACTTTACTAGAGAGTAAAGCAACTTTGCAGCAAAACTTCTATAGTGGAGCTCACTCCAAAAGCATCCTAGCAGGTATTCCAGTTATATATTTCTTGAGTGTATGTCAACATATATTAATGAGACACTTTTTATGAAAATACTATTCATCCATCTCAAAATGTAGGTCACATGATAAATCCAATGACTGTAGTCATCATTGGTTGAACACAGCTTTGCTTTCTCCTTGGAACATGCTAAAGGAAGCTCAGTCCTTACCTTCGTCCACTTCATCATTGGACATGATGGCCACACATTTCTCCCAGACCATCTTGACGTCTGCTCTGTAGCGGTCGCAAGCCCACAGGAACATGGGGAGCAGGATTGATTGAGCTATGGAGCACCAGAGGACACACAGGACCATCCAGCTGTAGGAGCGGTCAAATTTCAGGCTGGCAAAGCTCACCACCTACAATGAAGCACTGCAGTTATTTACATGTTAAAAAGCAAATTAAAATAGCAACAATTCAAACTATACATATATTTATAATCATATCCTGTTTTATCCACCTACATACAGTACACAATTAGGCTCATCACTGCACTTAATTATAATAAACCGAACAAAACCTTACAGATTTCATACCTTTCAAACATTACAGATTTCCTGTCACTGCATAATGTATTATTAACTCCAACTTGCAATTACTATAAGTATATCCAGCTCTATCTGCATACATGTACACTGACATAAAGTGATAGGGTAAGACGGGGTAAGATGCAGGCAGCTTTCTAATGATTACATCTATGTAATTACAAATACACAAAGGACTCTTAAGTCTTAACTAATTGCATTTAATAAACTTTAATTATAATACATTTTCATTTATTGGTGTCTGAAAACACTGAGTTTGCATACTTAAGTATATTATTTTAAAGTGTATTATTTCCGCTGTAAGTACTCTGCAGGGATATGTTAAAGTGTACTTTTTCACAAGGGTATCCCATCGCCTTGATTAACATGCTGCATAAAGACTTGAATAGAAGATTGAACATAAACAATGTATCCATAACATTTATTTTAGGCGGGACACTATTTTGATACTGATGACCTGATCACCAGAGCTACCACAAAGAACTTTGACAAAACCCCTGCTACACTATAATAATAATAATAATAATACTAACGGAAAAATAAAATGCAATGAAGTGCACAATTCAAAATACAGGTAAAACACCTGTAAAATATAAACACAGAAAAATTCTTCATATTAATACAGCACATCGTACCCTATCTTTACAGATTTTTTTCGCAGTGTGTAGCTGGATAAATTTCGCAAACAGATTTCCAGGCCACATTTCACCCCAAGATAATAAAATAATTATTAAGAATTAGGCTTCGACGTTGGCCTCAATGCACAAGGCAACCATCATACATCAACCTCTTAATTTTAATATATATGAAGGATGCACATCTGATGCATCTAAAAAAAACTTACAAATATGCTATATGGTGATTTAATTGTTGTTTGTGCTTTCATTATTTTGTCAGATTGAAGGAATGGCACTCTAGCACATATGCAGTATAGTTTGCATAACTATAAATGCAGTAAGCTGAGTCATAGATAAAACTCTACACCATGATTAACTCTATATCTCAATTAATAACTCTATATCTCAATTAATTTTTCACATGCGAATGGGATAAAGGGACGATATATCGTTACACCCCTATTCTACACACCCCCAAAACAAAATCAAGACTTTGTAAAAGAGCATAATAGGACCCCTTTAATTCAATAACCAAGATACTGTAGGGCACAGTTTAGTGACTTCTCCACAGGGCTTCTCCTATTTTGAATGGCTCTCTACATATATTCTTCCACCATTAGTTTACGAATGGCTTTTCTGCCAATATCAACTGTGCAGAAGGACATATTTAACTTTCCCCACTGTACTTTGAAACAGACTAAAGTTTCTTCTTTGCAAACAGAACAGTGGTAAAGCTTTCTCTAAGATGTATCTTGTCATCAGTTTAGGTCTAGCAGCAAGGTGTAAAGTAACAAATTCTACACATGTACCATACATGCTAATATTCAGAGATTCTATATTTAATGGCTTTAGTGTATGAAGATGGGTAAGAATTTTAATTCTCAAAGAGTTTAAGAGCAGCACCTGAATTATTGTGGCTTGGTAGGGTTTTGTTTCAAAAGGCCTATGAGGAGAACAGCAACAGGGCATTTGATGAATTGGCAGTGAAAGTGACGTGACATGTGGCCAAATATGGTGTCCCATACTCAGAATTTGTGCTCTGCATTTATCCTATACAAATTTATGTCCTCATTTGTCACAAAAATGCGCACGCACACACACACACACACACACACACACACACACACCATGAACACACACCCAGAGCAGTGGGCAGCCATTTGTCGATAAGTGTTTGGGAAATCTAGAGTTTCTTCACACACAACACTGATCTTGAATGACTAGGCTATACATACCAATGTTGGTGGGGGGAAATGAACGTGAAAACGATGAATCCTAATTATAATGCGGGTGAGGGTGACACCTGCTGGTGAAATGGCTGGATTGCATGCATGAAAAGTACTACAAAACAGTACAATAAAAAGACTAGATGGATGAAAAAGCATAGCAAACCCACTCCAACATAAGAAGAACAAACTACACACATAAAGGCTTAAGCTGTATGATTGCTGCTGAACATGCACAAGGTGGTGGTGTTTCTTTGGGGAGGCATTCACTTGTTTCTTGTTTCATGTGTGGGATGAGATGCCTGAGAACTTTCCGACCTGCTTGTGTTCTGTCTTGTGACTTATCTATAGTGCTAGTAGGTTTACCAAGCCTCCTTTTGAACCACTTGAGTCAGCTTCAGATAGAATTCTGACTCTCAATTGCAGTCAGATGTTGTTGGCGTTTACATCCCTTAAGAGGATTGGTGATTTACAGGCTATATCAGTGACCTCATGCTGTATGGATTGTGTTTCCTGTCTGGTGAAAGTTTTGGTTTATAGGAATGTTGCTTCTTCTCGGGCGTTTACCTAAGGTTGCATCTTTGGAGGACATTTGTGTGGTGGCAGGCTGTTCCTTTCCAAGGCTTTTATCAGATTTTATCATCTGGACACAGATTTGAGCTATGAATTGCCAGAGCTGGAAAGAGTATGAAAATATTCTACTCAAGTAAAAGTACCATTACATTAATTACATTTTACTTAAGTACAAGTAAAAGTACCAGTCTAAAAATCTACTCAAGTAAAAGTAAAAAGTAGCTCATTTAAAATATACTCAGAGTAAAAATTACTTAGTTACATTTTAAAAGTGGGAGGGAGGCAAAAATGGGATAGGCCTATAAACTAGTTGTTTTTAATTAAAGGAATCAGTTATTTAGAATAATAAGACATTTGGGCTGTTACCAGGCAAATTAAATCACTATTAAATCATCTTTGCAATGCAGAGGAAACGCAGAAGCTTCATCTGAAGTAGCATTTAGATGTATTTACACACTGTTTAATGCAGGACATGAATGCATTTAACCTGCAGTTACAAATGTAGAAATAATGTTTTGATATATACAACATAAAATGTTGAATACTCATTTGAAATTATAAAAAAAAATAAAAAGATATTTTAAATGTGAAATTAAAACCGCCAGTAGGTGTCAGCAAGTCACTGTTAATAAGTGAGTCATTGCGATTGAACCAAATAATTTAAACGGTTGATTCATTCAGGAACGAAACACCATCATGTTGCTCAGAGACGCAAAACTGTTCTATGGTGGCTATGTTTGGAATAATTTTTGTTGTCGAAATAGAGCAAAAACAGGCAACGTGGTGTCTAAAACTCAAATTATATGAAATTATATAAATATATACATTTTCTGCCCCTATATCTTTCATTTTGTGATCATTCTAAATGCATTTTAGCAGACTGAATCGCGCAGTGAAAGAACGCACTCTAAATGCGCATGCGCACTAGTCAAGACTTCACGGCCCTCTGTAGAAGTGTTTTGTTTGGTTTTTGGCAAAATACTGATAATGTCAAATCGCACATCGTTAAAACAACAATTACGATATTATCACAGACGATATATATCGCACACCCTGCACCACTGTCTTTTTGGCTAATTTGTGCAAAACTTTTTGCTAAACTGTCAAAGCTTCATTTTAACCACCAATGCAACGATGCAAGTATCTAGCATACCTCTACATGCTTGCGAAGGGTTGATGTCGAGATTGTATAAAATGCTAGTTTGGTCTCCCTAGGCAAACACAGCTTACACTGTATTATAGAGCTTAAATATGGCCAGAGGTTCACTTAATTTCCTTCGAGTTCAACTTCAGCAGAATACGACGGGGTTTTGTTTTCAGCTGGGTCTGCACTGCACCACTAACGCCTGTCTTGTCCATCTGCATCTTTCTTGTGATTTTAGCGCCAGTTTGCTCTCCTGCCCATTATTTACTGCAGTAGTTTCCAGGGAGCGATTTTTTTTTTACTCAGGAATTAATGTGTTTTAAAATGTAGCGAAGTACAATACTTAAAACAAAATATACTTAAGTAAAAGTAAAATTACAGATTTTAAAAATTACTTTAAAAAGTAGAAGTACACAAAAAAGCTACTCAATTACAGTAACGCGCGTAAATATAATTCGTTACTTTCCACCTCTGTGAATTGCAACATTCAATTGTAACATCAGTTACGTATGTATCCCTGGGTCCCTGAGAAGGCTTCAGACAATTGTCACTAGTGTTGTCAAAAGTACCGGTATACTTCGGTACCAAGTCAATACTTAAATTTTAAAAGCGTAATTATACCAGCCTTTCCACAGTACTGGTAGTACTGAGTATCGACCCGCTGACAGGCGGCTGCTTTCAAATGCTCACGTATTTGTGTGAGTGTCTGTGAAGAGCGTCTAATGTTTAAATTTTCAACGTGTTTTTGCAGCACTGAGCATTGTAGCCAATCACAGATATGTTTGTGCATGTAAATGCAGTGGCCAATCAGAGGTGTGTAAGTCAGAATCGCTAGAGTTCGTTTAGCTTGTGTTCTGCACTCTCGCGAACAGTTTCGCTCTAACCAGCAAAGTATAAACACGATGTAAATAAGAGATTAATTGTGCAGTATAGACTGATTTTTTGATTATAGCAGGAGATTTCACTCAGTCAGTGAGCTTGCGCTGCGGATGAACTGCACTGAAATTAGCTTCACTAAACATAAGGGGGCATCTTTGCTCACTTTCTGTGTATAATAACCCATTCATAATTTGAATAAAAGTTTTATTTTTCATGCTAAGTACACACTGCAGGAGGGACGACTGTTTTAAAACTGACATTGTGATAACCATAGCAACGGACGGGACCAAATCAATCTGATGTGTCAGAATAGATATTGAACAATATTTGAAGGCTACATGCTAATGTTTTAATGTATTGACATATTAATTATTAATAGCATTACAATATTTTTTGATATGGTACCAAAATTAGTACAGAGAACCGTGTGATTTGGTACTGGTATCACAACACATCCCAACAAACCAGTGGTTGAGTTTGCAACAAACAGTATTTACTGTAAAAAGAAAAAAAATTATTACTGTGATTAATTATCACAACTTCAAATTAAACATTAGAATAAGTAATAATGCATTGTTTCAACTTAAAAAGTAAGTGTTCGTGCTTGACTTAAAATGATAAGTTCAGTTAACTTTAGTTTACACAAGTTGTATATTTGTTATCTCAACAAATTTGTTATAACTAGCATTTTTTACAGTGTTGCAGGGAGTTTTCTAACAGACACATTTGATGTCGGATCATCAAAAGCACTCTCTTCATCAATAGTCCTCAAAAAGTCAATATCATTCATAGGTCAATCAAGGCAACTCCCAACTCATATTCCTATGCAAAGATAAACACCACTGATACTCCACTGAAGACTGCAGCCCTTTTTCTAAAATCATGTTCTTTTAAATGAAAGTAAACACTCACCAATATGGGGAATCCAGTTAGAAAGTCGTATATGAAGACTATTCCACTGATCAGATAGGTGATCTGCAGCGACGTCTTAATGGGCTCTGAGCCGTCGATGGATGAACGCCTCTTGCCCTGGGCATCCTCCACTACAATGGTGGGCACGTTAAATTTGTTCTTGTCTACATTTTGACCCATCTGGATGGAAAAGGTCTGGAAGAGGGCAATTCCAATACAGATGACGCCCATCACTACACTCCCGCTGATCAGCAGCAGGAAGCAGACGCCGAAGCCCAAGCCGATCTCGGTCACAATGAAGCGACAGTTGTCGTGGGTGTAAAAGCGCTCTGTGGTATCATGCCAGCCCACAGCGGGCAAGGTGGACAGAATGAACGACACCATCCAGATGCCCATGACCGTGTGGACAGCCTGCTTTTTGGTGTTACTCAACCTGGTAGAAGATAAAAGAGATTAAAGATTATAATGTTAATAATGCTAAAATGAACATACTGGTTGTATAAGAGATTAATAAAACTAGATTACGACATTGAGCTAATACTTCAATACTTCAGTTAATTTTACTGAGGATGGTTGTAACAACTGGGTGAATTGTATCACCGTCAATTAGAAACCATTTAAAGGGATGAAATAAACATCAAACCATGTCCACACTTTTCTAATATGTGACCCTGGACCACAAAACCAGTCATAAGGGTCAATTTTTCGAAATTGAGATTTAGACATCTTCTGAATAAATAAATAAAACTGAATAAATAAGCTTCCCATTGATTTATGGTTTGTTAGGATAGGACAAAATTTGGCCGAGATACAACTATTTGAAAATCTGGAATCTGAGGGTGCAAAATAAAATCTAAATATTGAGAAAATCAAGCGTAGCGTTAGTTCTGGCAGGTCACATTAGTCAAGCTTACATCAGCTGACTCTCAGCAGATCCCCATCTACCTATGGGAATAGGACACCTATCTAAGCATTCATATATAAGGTCCCTCAGTATTATCAGCAGTTTTCACATTGCTCAATTGCAATAATAATAATCAATAGCTAATTACCCTCCTCCATCCCCAACTCTTCATCTGTCAGTCAGGATTCAGCCTTCTGATTCTCCTTTGAATCAGACTAATTCTAAAATGTGTATATAAAATTATTGAACTTTAACAATATCTGCAATACATTTATGTTGACTCTGTTCTGTTTACCCTGGGGGTTTTCGCTGCTCTCCCTGCTCTCATCAATGCTAGGCTGCATGGATACGCAGGGAGTTCTTGCCCAGAACAGAACCATATCGCCAATCCAAACTGTATGCTAATTGTCAATCATCTTTGACGATAGTGGTCCTGGCAGAAATCGCCTTTAAAGTTGTCCAAATGAAGTTCTTAGCAATGCATATTACTAATCAACAATTAAGTTTTGATATATTTACAGTAGGAAATTTACAAAATATCTTCATGGAACATGATCTTTACTTAATATCCTAATGATTTTTGGCATAAAAGAAAAATCTGTAATTTTGACCCATACAATGTATTTTTGGCTATTGCTACAAATATACCCCAGCGACTTAAGACTGGTTTTGTGCTCCAGGGTCACATATGGTGCTTTTCCACTGCGTGGTACGACTCGGCTCGGCACGGTTCAGTACGGCACGGCATGGCTCAGCATGGTTTGTGTTTCCACTGCAGTTTAGTATCGCTTTAGAGTGGGCGGGATTATTCATATGTGGTTATACACCACCTCTACATCCACGACTCCTAAAAAAAAATTTTTTCATTCTGTGTCGCCCCATCAAGCTCTCGCTGGATCCGCTCCTCTGCTATCAATGAGAGGAACGTCTGTACTTCCTCAACAGACCACGAAACTTTTTTGTTGTTAAAAAAAGGTGTGCTCGTTCAAAACAGTTGCGTTCGATCCTTCACTTGCTGTGCTGATTTAAATCTAGCGGTTCTTTTGTGTTTGTGTCGCAAGTTCAGTGACGCAGTTAGTGACGATACTCTCCGGCCAATCCGTAATCAGCAGAGTTTACACGTCACGTTTTGGTAACGGTACGTTTCACTTGGAATCTCAATCGAAGTGGTACTAAAAAAAGTACCAGGTACCAGGTACTGTACCCAGTGGAAAACCCCCCAAAAGTGAACCGTACCGAGCCTTACCAGGCCGTACCATGCAGTGGAAAAGCGCCAATATAGTGTTTAACTTCACCCCACCCACTGTTACAACTCATGTTACAACAGCACCTTCTGTGCTTGCCATTAATTTACACAGTGGGAAAATTATATCAATGTTTGAGATAAATATTACAAAAACAAAACAGACAAAAACAGACTACAGAGTTACAGATGTTAAAATAAAAAGTGATACTACTATCCCGTCTCCCCTATGTAAAAATATGCCCACCTGTCAAGATCCAGTCAATTTCTGATTGATAGATTCAAGTTCCACCCTATTTTTTTTTCTTATTAATGTTCAGACTAACTTGAAAATGTCACATTACAAAAGTAAAATAGGTTGTGAACAATGTTTTATGTTGACTTTAAGCTAACTTTCCACTTTAGAGTGGATCCACTGATTAGAAATTCCTTGACTGAATTACTTAAGAGTAAAATCTTTACTAAAAAAATAAAATATTTATTTAAATATGATTTATAGTGCTATTATAGTGCTAAGGTGGAGTGCTATCTTGAGGACTGCTCTGTCAGCAAAGAGGAATAATGATTTTACCCTTAGGACACAGAAGGTTTTTTTTTACAGTGAATGCAAATGTCCGTATATGTTAACTAGTTTAATTAATGTTTTCCCTCAACAAGAGCCACAATTTTCTAACATTTTTGTTTTCACAATCATAATTCTCATAATTCCTTTCTGTGAAGATGTACTTTTTAGTGTACAAAATGTTATAAACTTTCATTTTTGTAGTATCATTGAATCATTTTTCAAGGTTTTATCATGTTGGCCACTGTAAATGTCGTACTGCACCATTACTCATGAAAAATAATTTAAGAGTGTGATTAAGAGTATAAGTCACATACAGCACAATGTTAATATATCACATGCAATTTATTTTTAAACTAACACAGAAGAACAGGAAAAAAGTGTTTTGGAGTGTTTATGTTTAGCACAAAACACTTTATGGAGTCCTCTGTAACTAAAATGTAAAAATTATACATGTAACCGATGAATCACTAGGGGAAAGCACAGCATAGAACAAACAGTACATTTAGGCATTTTTGCAATTTTGCACTTTATTTGTGGCCTTGAGACAATAAATTCAAATTTGAATTCATTGTTGGCCTATTTCTCTTGTGCAGATCTTATTTGTTTTTTGATCTTTGAGCTATTTTTGGATCTACGCACCGTCAGAATTGTATGTAGTTAGTTGAGTTGGACTTGTGTCTGGCGCTACTTTTCTCCAGTCTCTCCATTTAGGCCTTCAAACATTGTTTTCACTTGTGTCATCTAAGGTCTGTCATAATGGAATGATTTAATTAAAGTCCCTAGCTGTGTGTAGTAAGATACTGGACCATTCGAAATGATGTAAAGCCTCCAGTTCTTTGAGCAGTGAAGAAAATCTGCTATGCATTGTGCACTGCAGAATGTCCTATAAATGTTAAATGAGGTTTACATATGGGGACTATATGAAATGCCTCAGGAATTACTATATATAAATGATTATCCTAGAACATCAAAAGAGAACAGCATAGGCATAAACTATACCTTAAGTCATTTTAATTAAAAGTTTTGAACTATGTGTTTTAGATGCACAGAAAAATCAAGAATCAGCATCTGAATCTAAAAAATGGTGACAATCACCAAAAAGCTTTTTGTGACCATAGTAGCTTGTTTTGTGACGTTCAGAGTTGATCTGTTTATCTGAATATTTTGTCACCATTGTCGAGAATCATACACTGATTCTTGATGTCTGTGTCTGAATGACCCTGTCTTTATAAAAATCTTCCAAAATATCACAGCACTGTTGTGAAACTGTGTGAAACTGTTGACTAATAATAAATTATTTAATCAGAGAACAGACTATGGGTGGCCATCACACGATGACTATTCTACTGTTAAAAAAGGACCCACCACAATAAGTACATTGTACTTAATTTTTGATGTAAGTACATAGTAGTTAAGGCCACTTAATATAAAGTGGGGCCTTAAAAAGCTAACATCAGAGTTTCTCTTACATCTTTGCCATAGCAAATGTGCTTAAAAAACACAATTAAAGCAGACATAGAAAAACCAGGTGTTTTTCTGTAAAACATTTAATGAAAATTTAAGTAAAAGTTTTGCACTTTATCTAAAATAGGCTATTTTACTTTAATTGTATGGCTTTCATTTGGCAGCCATTGCCATTGTTTTTTTTTTTTTTAAAGAAAATATTTTTAAATGT